CTTTCTGTCTTATTGTAGAGGCTGCAGAATTTGAAGGAGAAGGAACGCTGTACAACATGAGAGAGACTATTACGGACCACGTGCACTCAAATAAGGACATGTTTGAGCAGGCAAAAAATACCATGTTGGAGAAGTTGCACAGTTTGAAGGTTTGTCATATGATTACCATATTTTGTTATAATTCACCCAAAGGCTTTTTCTATGTTTAGCTGGAATAGACTTAGACAAAAATGTATGTTCAATTTATATTTTTAATCCAGTTTGAGAAACTTCTAAATGTAATTGTATTTGACTTTAACACATTTTGATCTGTGATAAGTAATTACAATTTCTAAAATAGGTAAACATCCTGGAGATTCTGGAGAAAATTATGAAGGAATCCATTGAAAGTTCATTTAAAACTGATGGGAGCTCACTCCCAGGTAAACAGGACAGTTTGCTGTAATTACATTTGATAATGCTTTCTTCCTTTTCACTTTATCTTTACAGTCTTGCACCTGATAGCACAGTCTGTTTACCTATTTGTCTATCTATTTTTTAATTAACTTAAAAATTACTGAGTGACACTGCTACTGTGGCGGGAAACAATTAAAAAATATTTTGTTTTTCAGATGTTTCAACAGAGCTTGAGATGGTGAAAAAATATTATGATCAACTTGCAGCCACTCCAGACGATGAAACATCACTTGGTAAATCCTTAAATGTCATCATCAGTATTACATTAAATGTTTTAAATTAAAACAATTGTCCTTAATGGAACCAATGGAAACCAAAGTTTCCATTTGTTATCGCTCTTTGTTAAACCTCTTTTTCTGTTTTTGTCATGGTTGGCTGTGTGGCAGGCAGGCAAGCAGGAGTGGTGGACCCAAAATGCAGGACTCAGACTCAAGGGATGAACTCAAAAGCTTTTATCTCAGCTTTATTTGCTGGCACAGGAAAACAAGCTTACAAAGGAAACTAAACTGAACTGGGAAACAACATAAACTCATGGGAAACACAAGGAGATCCACACAGCACGAGGGTGAACTGACGTTAACAATGCGACAACAAGAACTAACTGACAGGGACTAAAATACACTGGTAGGCACATGAGGAAACGAGGCACAGGTGGGAACACAGCCGGGAGAAATTAGACTAAACGAGACAGAGGAAGCGAAACTAGAAACACTGACATAAGATATGAACCTTCAAAGTAAAACAGGAAATCCACAGACTGAACACAGATAACTCTGACCAAGAACAGGAGGAACACAGTACAGTGGTCAGAGTGACAGCAGGGGCAAAGGAATACACAAGCTAAGAAATATAGAACAGAAAACAAAACACCAGTAGTCATAAGCCAAGAATCCAAAGGAAAACAGACCAATAAACAATAATATAGAATCAAAACACTGGGCCACAGGCCCAGAACCGTGACAGTTTGGGATCTTTCAGATTTGCTGACTGGGTAGAAACTGCAGAAACCTGGACACATACAGGTTCTCCCAGAGGAAGTGCT